TCAGGCGGCCGCTCTCCCCTCAGGGGCCACGGCACCTATGTGGACGAGGAGAAGCTCATCGCCTCGGTGGCCGGCGTCGTGGAGAGGGTGAACAAGCTGGTGTGCGTGAAGGCGCTGAAGACCAGGCGAGCGTAGCTGCTTGTATTTTTGGCAGGGAGCGTGAACCCTGCCGTTTGCACTGTGCGAGGGCTGGTACCCGGTTTTTGGGAAGAGTGAGGTGTGTGACGGGCCCCTCTCTCTGTCTTGCTTCTAGGTACAACGGCGAAGTCGGAGATATCGTGGTCGGGAGGATCACAGAGGTAAAGCTCGGGTTTCCTGATGTGCCATGGAGGAGGGTGGCATTCTGAAGTGTCTCAGTCCCATCTGAAGTGCTCCTGACGTTCCTAAAGCTCACTGGTGTCTGTGCACTGAGGTGCTGTGAGCCCGTGGGTTTTAAACGAGATGAGGCTGGAAGTGGTCAGTAGAGCTGTGTCCTGCCTGCTCAGCTGCTCTGCTGAAGAGCTTCTGTTAAATTTTTGAGCATATACCAACAGAATATTTTTCTTCTCCAGGTTCAGCAGAAGCGATGGAAAGTGGAAACAAATTCCAGGCTGGATTCAGTCCTGTTGCTGTCGTCTATGAATTTACCTGGTGGGGAACTGGTGAGTGTAGTTCATGCAGAGCAGTGCTGGAGCCTTGTCTGCTTCCATGGCAGAAGCTGAGGCACTGGGAATCTCTGGAGTTCTCCCTACAGTTATCATAAGGGTAGTGTTGGATTTTTTGGTTGGGTCTGTAGTGCTCTCATATCTCTTAACTCTCATCGTTGTTTGGACATAAATAAATCAGTGATCTAAAGGTGTGCTTGTCTGCCTGATTTTCCTTTAGTGACCAGGTTGCATTTCGCATGGCATCCTAAAGTCCTCCTGCAATGTAGGTATTAACTGATGCTTTCTCATTCTGAGCGCTTCTTGTATTGTGCATTTCAGAGGAGGAGATCAGCAGAAGATGAGCTTGCCATGAGGGACTATCTGCAGGAAGGGGACCTCATCAGTGTATCCTTCCCCTGCTTGCACTCAGACAGAGGAGCCATGGGGAGAACAGCCAGACCTCAGCTGGCCTGGCTGGTGGTGAGAGCTCTCTGCCAGGGCAGCCAGCGGCTCATGGCACGGGGCAGGATTAGGGACCTTGTTTCCTTAAGTGGCACTGACAGGCAGAGGTCCAGTCTGTGTTTTCTGATGGGGCTGTATCACTGCACACCCGGAGTCTGAAATATGGAAAGGTAAGTAGTTCAAAAGCACTTGGTCTTGGCTTAATTCTGCCCTAGTTGACTTGCATAGGGTCTTTTGAGGGGAATTTTTACTAGAAAATGGCTCTGGAGTAGAGCAGGATGTTATTATAACCCATTCCTGCAGGTTGGGAAGAATCTTGGCTCCTACAAGCAGTTTCCCAAGAGCAGAGGGAGTGCCCTTGAGCTGCCCTCTGAGCTGTGGCTCTCCCTGCCTGTGAGTCCTGTTGCCCCTGTGAGCCGCTTGGGAATTAAACCCTGAGGAGAAAAATCTTCTGACTCCAACTTCATCACTCCTCTTCTACAGGCCACTGCCCCTGTGACTTGTTTCTCTCCCCAGGGCTCTATTTTAGGCTTTACGCAGTTGGCATTTATCTCTGGTTTTGTGCATTGAAATAAGCCAAGGGGCCATTGGAGCGTACGCTGCAGTTTGGGATTACCAGACCAAGGGTATTAGCACTTAAAAGATGAAAGCGAAGCGTGCTCAGTGCACAAAGGGTGAAGGACAGCGATTGGATTAAGAGGGGAAGTGTTCTGCTAAATTGGGCCTCTCGCTTCTCACTTTTCTGCAGGGTTGGCTGATGTGTAGTTACGATCAAGATATTATTAACATTTGTGCTGAGCACTTAGGGTATTCATCTTCAAAGGACTGCACAGGCACTAGCTAATCCTCCCAGCACTCCCAGAGGCAGGCAGGTTTTATATTCACTGTTTCACAGGAAAAGGTGTTAAAATTGACTGGTTCCTACAGCAGGAGTGGAGTGCACGTCAGTGACTTGATGTTATCTACGATGGCTCATGTCTCTTGTGCTGCATCTTGCGGTTTCTTCTTCAGCTTGGCCAGGGTGTGCTTGTTCAGGTCTCGCCTTCCCTTGTGAAACGCCAGAAGACTCACTTCCACGACTTGCCCTGTGGTGCATCCGTCATCCTCGGCAACAATGGTTTCATCTGGATCTACCCAACCCCAGAGCAGAAAGATGAGGAGGCGGGGGCCTTCACCACCAACTTGGAGGTGAGGGTTCAGGGAGGGTGAACCTTCTCCTACCAATGATGTTTTGTCAGCAATGTGGTCAGAGGCACACAAACAACATGAGACTTTCAAGATTTGGTATTAGGTTCATGGCAAAGGTTTTTTTTACAATATATTTGCATTATTTCTCCACCTATTCATCTATTTTCCTCTGTCCTCCTTCAGCCAGTTCCCTTGTCTGACCGAGAGGTGATCTCACGGCTCCGAAACTGCATTGTGGCACTTGTTACTCAGAAGCTGATGCTCTTTGACACCAGCATCCTGTACTGCTATGAAGCATCCCTTCCTCATCAGGTACAGGAACCAGTATTGTTCACTTGATTCCATGTTGTAGGGAGGGAACAGAAAGGCCACATCAGTTGCCGCTGGAGTCAGTAAGTCAGGTGCTAGGGCTTCCTTTCGGCTTTCCAAAGCATCCTGGAGTAAGTGACAATGCGAACTTCCCCCCTTCTGCACAACATAAATTGCCTCACACATTTTCAGGGATAGTTTCAAGGGTTCTGCCTCTGGCAAAGTTCAACTATTCCTATAGAGAAATAGTTCAGGTTTTGGATAGATGTGTGTCCCTTGCTGGGATTACCCTCTGTGATCACGGTGAAAACAGTCTTAATTTGGGGATTGTGTGAGGGAATGGTACACTTTAAGACCAACTGAAAAAGCAAGTGTCATGCATTGTACAGAGACTGGTCTTCTGTTTGTATTCACATGCACTGCTGGAAGGCTCCCTCAATTTGGCCTCTTGCTGTACAGCTTTTTTCTGTGACTTCTGCTAGTGCATCACTGGCAATTCTCTTCTCATAAATGGATAAGATCTGAATTGTTTCCTTTAATTCACAGTGGCAGCCTACTCAGCTAGATGTGATGTTCTTTTGAAGTATACTTCTGTTTAAATCATCTCTTCCCTAATACCGGTGTGTGTGTCCTTCAAGAGAGATTAGGAGTTGTCAGTAGCATCACCTTTGATTTCTTACGGTTTCTGTAAGAATTGCTAACTGGAAAAGTTAACTTTGCCTTGGACCCTCTGCCACGATGGTCTTGGTTGACCACAACTAAACTCACTTGCTGCTCATAGTGTGCAATAGTAATAGATTTGGAGGTTTTTTGGTGCCAATGTTACTCTTCTTTCCATTCCAGATCAAGGACATTCTCAAACCAGAGGTGATGCAGGAAATTGTTCTGGAAACTCGACAGAGGTTGCTGGACCTGGAGGGATAGGGCCCATGGGCAGAAGCAGTCATTTGAAGACCCAGCATGGCAGCTTTTGATTCTCAGTATTTTTTTTTTCAGTCCCCAACATTCATTCCACACTTCAGAAACCACCAAAATTCCTCATTTTAACGCCTAGGATACCTCCTGGGCCCTTGCAGTACAAAAGTACTAAATAGTACTTAAGTACAACAGCCATTTAGTGCAGCGGCCTGAAAAATTGGTATCTGACCTTTATAAAGATGCAAATGCAACTGGGGCATATCTCATAGCACTTGTTGCTGTGTCCAGTGCACCTGAACTTTGAGCAGAATGGTAAAGAGAAAGGGATGTTTTGGGATGTTTCTCTCTCCTCAAAGGCTTTCTAAATGCTTTTGATTTTCCTTTACTGTGATATAGATCTGCCAGTCTGTGCTCTGACCAAGAGCTCTTGTTTTTCTCTTTAAGACTGCAGATCACAGGTACAAGTCTTTAGAGGACAGGAGTGTCCACACCCTTTCTGACCACATTTTGAGTCTGGCTGTTCATGGTTTCTATGTCTTGGGTATGAGATTGGATGTGGCATGATGTGGCTGTCCACGTAAGCCAGGAGCTGTGGGCAAGCTGCGCCTTCTCAGCCTGTGTGCATCCTGCTGATCCCTTTTCTATGCCTCATGTTGTGAGCTCCTCCTCTGAGGAGGTTCCAGTATTGTTTTCTATTAAATATTTTACATTTCAATAAATTTTTTGGACCAGATCACTCATTTGAGAGTGTGTGCACTAGCTTGTCGTTCTCCAGAATGAATTTGGTCTACCTTAAGTGCTAATGTTAGGATACTCGAATGGTTGCAATGTTCTGTCATCTCCTCTTCAGCTGTTGCTCCTCATCCCGTTGAAGCAGGATGTGACCTTCCTCTTCAGCACATCTTCTGTGCAGAGTTCCTCTGTAAGCAGAGTGCCTGGCATTGTTCTCAGCAGCAATCTCAATGTTGCTGGATCCCATGGAGGGGTGAGACACGCAGCAGCTGTGTCTGGGGGATGACAGGGAGCCCGGTATGGCACTGGTGGAGATCCTCAGGCAGTGGTTAGAGGTGGGCACGCTGAGCCAGACGTTGGCAGTCAGTCACTTGCTGCCTTTGTGCAGGATGGACGTGCTGCTTTTCTTAGAACAGCCCCTCAGATCTCTGGCGCTCTATTAGAGCTGTTTGTATTATATCTGTATATTGTGTATATGTGTTGTATTAGTGCTGCTTGCACCACCGTGCTGTAATTCTTAAAAAGGATGAAGAAGCAAAATGTCTGCCCTAATTGTCCCTGAATCTAATTTGATTGCAAATTCTCATGCTAGCTGCAGGCAAAAGGAAAAATTTGCTCAGTCTTTTCCTGGGAACTAGAAGTACCCTTCTCATTGCTCTGCCTGTGGTCCAGTAAGCACTAGGTGGCAGCTTCGGATCACGTTTGTAATATTTACCTTCCCCAGCAGCTCTGGCTCATTGCTCTGCCAAATAGCAAAGGCACCACCAGCACCACTACAGCATTATGGAGCTCAGCGGCTAAGGACAAGCAAGGACATGGGTAATCTGCTCTGCTGCTACACAACTTCTGCCCGTGCTGCCTCTGTAAAATAGTACTCAACTTGAGGATGGCAGTGGAATGCTCCATGCAAGGCCCAGGAATTGTTATTGCTGGGTTTTGTAAGGATTCCCTAATAAGCGTTGCAACGATCGCGTACTCAAGATGGGACTTTGGAAATTTGAAAACTAAAGTTTGATGGTGACACTTTCAGGCCTGCGTGAGGCTGGCAGCAGCATCATCCACATACGTGTGGTCAGGAACAGCGCAAAAAAGGCTAAAAGCTTTAGCAACCTCTGCATCTTTTAATTAGAAAAATACCTCTCTTTTCCCCCCTATCCAATTGCTGCAGTTTAGCAGCTGTTTGTCTTATTACCTTATGGGGAGATTCAGAAGTTTCTGCTGTGAGGCTTCTAGGTGCAAGCAGATCTGGGATATAAAAGCAATGAGACAAAGTATCTGATGTTTCCTTTTTTTTAAAAGCATTTTTGAAGGCTGATGGAGAGATCTGTGTTTAATCCAGTAGATCTCTTTGCCTCTAAACAACTCGGTGTCAGTTAAAGGGCAAAGACTGTACTACAGTACCACCTAGAGAGGTTTGATACCTGGAAATGGTTCTGCTGAACTGATACATGAATGCAAAATGCTCCTCTGTCCTCAAGCAACCTCTCTGCAGGTGCCTAACAGGTCAGGAGGGGGATTGGGGGTTATGAGGCTCTTGAAAGTGCTCTTGGCTACGTGGTGGAAACGTGCTGAGGAAGCGTGCTCTGGGGGTGGCTAATTCAGAGCTGGATCAGGCTCATGGGTACCAAGTGTGAGCTGTCAGACCTGCAAGGTGAGACAGCGCCAGGTTCTGATAACACAGAGCTTAGGAAAAGGGAGCTGGTGTCTGCAGCAGGCTGCGTGGGCTGCACAGCTGAGTTGTTAGATATCTTTTTTTTCTCTAATTTTAATTGCTTTTTTTTAACTTTTTTTTTTCCCCTCCACATAGCAGTCCTTAAAACTGTGCCCTATTTCCAGGCTTCTTATGCTAGCCCTCTCTCCCTGTTGTGAACCCTTTTTTGGTTATTTATGCTCAATAAATGAGTATATAACCTGAAAAACAATGAGCTCGAGATCTGGACTGGTTCTGTTCTGAGCTTTCTGATTCTTTCTGCTCACTGCAGCATTCCTGATATGTACCTTGGGGTATTAAATGGGGGAGAGTATGTGACTCATCCAGTTCCTGTGCTTCCGAATACCTGGCACTTTTGTTTTCAAGCCTGAGAAAAAGCGCAGCAGCTGGTAAGGTTTGGTTATGGATCTTTTCTGATGTGCGCAGGCAACTGAAGCCCCGGTATTTTCCTCCCTGACCACGAGGGGTCATTGCCGTTCTTTGCAAATTCAGCCAAGCCCAGACCTCATTTTTGTAAAAGGCTTCAGCGAGGGCACTGCTGGCAGTTCCTGCAGCCCCATCAAGCACAGCTTTGCACCCAGCAGGTAACAAGAGGTGACAGTGACAAACTTGCATGGGGAGGTACAAACCTCCTGAGGAGTTTCAAAGATGTCTAGGAAAGGTACCAGGCCAGCTGCCATTTACTGCTGATGTGGCTGAATTCTTGTGACTTCTCTCTCTCTTGATGAATGTCGAGGGCCACCAGTGCTCATCCAGCTTGAAAGCAACTGGATGTGGTGTTGGAGCTCATGGTTTCCATATGGAGAGGCTTCAAGTATTGGCTGTTCAGTCATGATCCATAATATGGCAAATGACTTCTCCCCAGTGCCCAGCAGAGACGAGTGAGGAGTCAGAGAGGGTCTGTGGGAGGTTTGGCAAACAGGGTGGGCCCTGGCATTTCAGGTAGGTGGGAGAGCTGGGACCTCTTTTTCCATAGGCAGGTCCACGTGAGGAGACGTGCAGGCTATATAAAAAATGCCTTTGGGACAGGAAGTGCTCGAGATGTGAAGGAGGACTCCAGCGTAAGCAGTGTCCTCTTGAATTCTTGAAATAGTGTGTGTGGTTTTGCTAGGCAACTTCTAAGCAGGAAGGGTGAAAGGGAAGAAACAATGGCTTCTCTGGTTTAAGAACAAAACCATAGTCAAAAGCAGGGTGGAAAAAACCTAATAAGTGTTCATTTTCATACAGGGAACTAAAATGCCCGTGCAGGCATTACAACAGCTTGGACCAATCTGATTTTTTGGTCACCAGTGCCTGACGGTGTGGAGCCTGTTTGTAAATGAGCTGTAGCACTCGCCTGTGCTGCCTCCTCCAGGGTTAATACATGGCACAGACGTCCTTGAAAGCGGCGCTGGTAAATGGTTCCCTCGCTGGTGAGTGCTGCCTGCAGAAACAAGAACACAAAGTCACCCATCTGCAGAAATAATTTTCCTGTTCCTTGGTGCCAGTGTTTGATTCATGTGCTAATATGAAGAATGGCAACCCCTCCCTTTGCTCCCAGTAAGAACCACTGGGATTTTAAATTTGTGCTAATGGGTTATTAATCCAATTACTGCTGCTCATTACATTACTTCTGTATCATCCGCATGCAGTTTTGCTGCTCAGTTGAGGTGAATGGTATAAATACAAAGCTTTGAGCAGACCTTGGAAGATACTGAAACCCCACTGAGATTATAGGCAGTCTGGACATGGTTGTTTCAGGTTCCTGAGGACCACTAATTAATATGCTATGGGTTTTTTATTTGGTAAAGAGGTAAAGCTTTAAGATACTGTTATGGAGGAAATGGAGGAAATACAACTGCAGCTGCTGGGTGTAACAACCCACGCTTAATGGAAGGTAAACAGAAAAAGTACTGAAATTTCTTTTATAAAATGTATGAGATGTATACATGCCACATGCAAGGCTTGATTGAAGGGAACAGTCTGTAGAATTTTCGATAATTATTTATTTATTCTGCATTCACACATTCTTTCTGTCATCTGTCTTCTCTAATAATTTCTGAACCCACTGGGCAACTTCAATTTCATTAACATGAGACAATCATGTTCACAGAAACTGGCAGCAGAGTAGGGGACGGAAAATACCCTTCAGGAAGGAAAAGAGGGCAGATACCTTGATGTGATATTTGGGGAGTGACCAGCTGGCCCATCTGCCTGTGTACAGCAGCGTGTACTGTTCAGAACACAGATCCTGCTTCTTTGCAATTACCTTTGCATGTTTTGGTCAAGGTCTTCTGAGTATCAAGGACCTGTTTCAGCCCTGCCATGGTAGGAGAGATTATCCAGGATGGCCCAGTCAGACCCAGAAGGGAGTAACTTTTTCAGTAAAGGATGCTTGGCACTGTTTTTTTGTAACAAATAGCTTTCAAGCTGCTCGGCCTGTGTTGACAGACAGCTTTGTTTCCTCCGTTTCCTGCAATCCGTGGGGGCTGAGTGGGAGGTTAGATCATCGCAGTGAGAAGCTGATCTCCATTACTGAGATAAACTGGAGAAATTCTGCTGAGTTCAAGAGATGTGACCCTGGATTTGTCGCAGCGTAACGTACCAGAATTTCTCACTCCTGCGTGTGTGTAGCACAAACAGCTTCAATACCTGCAGTATGAGTCACTGATGGAGAAATGCAATAGAAATGGTTTGGGATCAGTCTCCTGGCTAAGAGTTAGCGATGTAGGAGCAGACGGGCAGTGCAGAGGTGGAGGATCCCGTAGGGTTGTAAGAAGTGCTACATTTCAGATGCTATTGTTGGAAGATGAAAAATACATGTCTGCCAGGGACCTTGAATATGGCGCAGGAGACATGGAGTA